CTTTCTTTATTTTTTTTGAGACGGAGTTTCGCTCTTGTTACCCAGACTGGAGTGCAATGGCACGATCTCGGCTCACCGCAACCGCCGCCTCCTGGGTTCAGGCAATTCTCCAGCCTCAGCCTCCTGAGTAGCCGGGATTACAGGCACGCGCCACCATGCCCAGCTAATTTTTGTATTTTTAGTAGAGACGGGGTTTCACCTTGTTGACCAGGATGGTCTCGATCTCTTGACCTTGTGATCCACCCGCCTCGGCCTCCCAAAGTGCTGGGATTACAGGCATGAGCCACCGCACCCAGCCCTGGAATTCTTTAAATAGGGAGCATACTTGAAGTTTCAAGAAAGGTAGTTTTAAAGACAGATTGAGACAAAATACTAACAAAGCCAGAGTGGTTGTTACTAAGTAATTTGCCTGAAATTAGCCTAGAAACTCTGAAGGCAGAGATTATGTGTTTGGTTCACAGTGGATCAGCAGGGAGCACAAGAGCACCTGAAAAATAGTAGCCAATCAATACTTCTTAAAAAATACATAAATGGGCCAGGCACAGTGGCTCACGCCTGTAATACCAACATTTTGGGAGGCTGAGGTGGGATCACCTGAGGTCGGGAGTTTGAGACCAGCCTGACCAACATGGTGACATCCCATCTCTATTAAATAAATAAATAAATAAATAAATAAATAAATAAATAAATAAATGGGCTGGCCTCAGTGGCTCATGTCTGTAATCTTAGCACTTTGAGACGCCAAGGAAGGAGGACTGCTTGAGGTCAGGAGTTCGAGATCTGGCGGTATGTACTGGTAGTCCTAGCTACTTGGGAGGTTGAAGTGGGAGGACAGATTGAAGACAGGAGTTGAAGATCAGCCTGGGCAACACAGTGAGACTTCATCTCTACAAAAAATAGAAGTGAGTAAAGCGAAAATTTATTGAGTACTCATTATGTGTAAGTATTGCTTTTGCAGTGTTTAGTATGAGTGTTACTGATCAGTATACAGATGATGTAAATACAGTGTAATAACTCTTAAAGACATAAGGTCCTGTGCAGTGGCTCACATCGTTAAGCCCAGCACTTTGCCAAGAGTTCAAGACCAGCTTGGGCAACATGGGGAAAAACCCATCTCTACAAAAAAGACAAATATATTTTGCTTGGCATGGAGGCACATGCCTGTGGTCCCAGCTACTTAGGAGGCTGAGGTGGGAGGATTTCTTGAGCCAGGGAGGCTGAAGCTGGAGTAAGCCAAGATCAAGCCACTGCATTCCAGCCTAGGTGACAAGAATGAGGAGGCCCAGACTCAAAAAAAAAAAAAAAAAAAAATTAAAGAAAAAGGGCCGGGCTCAGTGGCTCACATCTGTCATCCCAGCACTTTGGGAGGCAGGCAGATCACCTGAGGTCGGGAGTTCAAGACTGGCCTGACCAACATGCAGAAACCCATCTCAACTAAAAATACAAAATTAGCTGGGCATGGTGGCGCATGCCTGTAATCCCAGCTTCTTGGGAGGCTGAGGCAAGAGAATCACTTGAACCTGGGAGGCAGAGTTTTGCAGTGAGCCAAGATTGAGCCATTGCACTGCAGCCTGGGCATTAAGAGCAAAACTCAGTCTCAAAAAAAAAAAAAGAGGTGAGGGAGTCTATTAGAATAGAATAGTGAGTCAAAATAATTCAGGGATATAGAGTCTTCTTAGACAAGGTAATGTTTGAGCTGAGTTTTTTTGTTTTTTTGCAGGAGGATTTTGTTTAAGACAGGGTTTTGCTCTATTGCCCAGACTGGAGTACAGTGGTGCAATGGTGCAATTATGGCTCACTGCAGCCTGGACCTCCTTGGCTCACATGATCCTCCCGTTTCAGCCTCCAGAGTAGCTGGGATTACAGACTCATGTGGCCACACGGGCTAATTTTTGTATTTTTAGTATGGATGGGTTTTCGGGGTTTTGCCATGTAGCCCAGGTTGATCTCGAACTCCTAGGCTCAAACTATCCTCCCATCTCTGTTTCCAAAAGTCCTGGGATTACAGGCATGAGCCACAGTGCCTGATCTGAGGTGAGTTTTGAAGGAAAGGCAATGGGGCACAGTGTGTTAAATCACTGTGGAATGAAATAGCATTATACATTTGAGGAAACAAAAACAGTGCAGTTTGGCTGAAGAGAGAACAGGATGATATGATGGTGTCATGGTAGGTTAGGTTATAGGGTGGATCTAGATCTATTTATATGCTATGTTAAAATTTGGGCTTTATTCTAAATTTAGAAATCACTAAACTATGTTAAACAGAGGAATGACAGAATCATAATCTTCATTTTAGGAAGACCACTCCAGCAGCAGTGATAGTGCAATGTGGGGGAAATGGAGGTAGGAAGGTTTAAAGTATGAAGAAAGAAAACAGAATCCATAGGGAAGTATGTTGCTGGGAAAGAAACTGGATTGTGGGGGCTGAGTGAAAGGTACTAGAATCACTGCTAGGCTTCAAGTTTGGATTCAGTGCTACTTAATAAGGTAGATAATAGAAGAGAAGCAGAAATTTTATTTTTGTTTTGAGGGTAGATGAGAAGGCAAAAAGGGTAATAAATCCAGTCTTCCCTTAAGCTTAAGGCACCGGTGGGACACATAAGTGTGCATGTTAGTCTTCTTTCGATGGTATCATCAGGTCAACCACACTCTCTTACAAATGGTTTTTTTGTTGTTGTTGTTTTTGAGATGGAGCCTCACTCTCTCTGTCACCCAGGCTGGAGTGCAGAGGCATGATCTTGGCTCACTGTGACCTCTGCCTCTGGAGCAGCTGGGATTACAGGCACGTGCCACCATGCCTGGTTACTTTTTATATTTTTTGTAGAGACAGGGTTTGCCAGGTTGGCCAGACTGGTCTCCAACTCCTGAGCTCAAGTGATCTGCCCACTTTGGCATCACAAAGTGCTTAGATTATAGGTGTGAGCCACTGTGCCCAACACACACAAATGTCTTAGTGTGTGTGTGTGTGTATACATATATATATATGTCTTTAAGGCAGCATGTATATATATACACACACTTACACATATATATGTCTTTGAGGCAGCATGATTTTTCTGAACTATTTATGTGCTACGAGGCCCCCTAAAAAGGAATTGGATGAACAGGCTGTATGTTGGTAACTATAAGATAAATAGTAATTTGATAATTTGGAGAAATTGTAATCTTAGCACTTTGGGAAGCCAAGGCAGGTTGATTACTTGAGCCCAGGAGTTGGAGACTAGCCTGGGCATCATGACAAAACCCTGTCTCTACAAAAAAATACAAAAATTAGCTGGGTGTGGTGATGTGTGCCTGTAGTCCAAGCTACTCAGGAGGCTAAAGTGGGAGGACCACCTGAGCTGGGGAGGTTGCAGTGAGCAGAGATTACACTGCTGCAGTCCAGCCCAGGCAACAGAGTGAGACCCTGTTTCAAAAAATAAATAATAATTTGGAGAAACAGTCCTTAACATTAGAGTACTGTGATCTAAGACCTCGTTTCATATATAAGTAAAACATGGCAGCACGAATAACAAGTCTAATCTGCTTTCCATTAAACTGTAATAACAGTATAGCAGACATGATAAAATAAGATGCATTACTTTATCTCTTTGAAATTGGTTGGTAGTGTATACTCCATAGCACAACTTCTACTGGCTTTTGAGTAAAGAAAATTTTTTTTTAAATGCAACAGATTTTAAATGCCATTTCCCTGCATAGCTATTAATATAATTACTGAACCTAATTTCCTTATGTTGTTATTTTTGTCTTATTTTTCAACCAAGTGCTTCTCACCTATATCAATTTTTAGAAACATACTAGTACATTAGGATATTTTCTAAGAAACTAAGCACATAAAAATACCCACTATGGTATTTAAAATATTAGTCTTGTCTTTCATGTGTATATTAAAACTTTTTCTTTGACACGGAGTCTCACTTTGTCTCCCAGGCTGGAGTGCAGTGGTGTGATCTTGGCTCACTGCAACCTCCGTCTCCTGAGCTCCAGCAACTCTCATGCTTCAGTCTCCCTAGGAGCTGGGACTACAAGCGTGCACCACCATGCCTGGCTAATTTTTGTATTTTTAGTAGAGATGGGGTTTCACAATGTTGGCCAAGCTGGTCTCGAAACCCTGGCCTACAGTGATGGCCCACCTCAGCCTCCCAAAGCGCTGGGATTACAGGTGTGCCCGGCCATATTCACTTAAACATTTAACGACCCAGGATAACATCCACCTAGGATTTTAAGTTGTATACACAATGCTTTTATTTTGTTTCGATCAAAATAGTCTATTCATGACAATATTTATGAGCCCATTCACTTCTAAGATAACAAATTGTTAGTCTAGCCAGTCTCCTTCAAACTTGTTTTCTCCTTCTACCCACCATCGTCAAGATGTAAAGGAATTTAAAAATCGCTCCTCCTCTCCCAACCCCCCGAAACACACCCATTCCAGGAAAAGAAAGAAGAGGGGACGCAAAGTGGAATAAGTTATGGCCAGAGACCGAGCGCACAAAAATGGGACCAAAGCCCAGGCTCGAGACCGAGACGAGGAATCGGTCACCACAGCCGGAAGATCTCGGCTATTTGCCAGAAGAGAACTGACTGGTGCTAAGAAACCAGACAGAGGGAGTGACAGGAGAAGAAAGAGGGCCCACCTTTGGGACTGCCTGAACACTCAAAGAATGAAAAAGGAGAAACGTCAGGAATCCGAGACAGGCTGCAGTCCACCAGAGCGACCAGCCAGGTTAATACCCAGCTCCGAAGGCCAGCACTCGGGTGAGACCCTCGGGAAAGAAACGGCGCCTGGAGATCGCCTGCTTGAAGGAAACTGATAACCAGGAAGCCTAGGACCGCTTCGCTTCCAAGTCAGAATCCCAGCCTCGCGTCCGGTAGCCGTCGCCAGACACCGAACAGGGTCTGTGGGCGGGCTTAGGGGCGGAGCCCGAGCTCCTTCCCCGCCCCCTAGCGGCGACTCCGGTTGCGTTCTCAATGCGCCGGCGTAGGGTGAGCCGGACTCTATTTGGCGATTAAGCGTGCGGCGGCGTTCGCTACCCGGCATGCTGTGCGCTAGTGACGGCCCTCTGCCTATCCCCTTCCCAACCCTACCCCCACCCCTACCTCCGCGGCCCCCCCTTCCCCTAAAGTGAGTGAGACGGGCAGATGGAGGAGGGACTGTAATGGCGGCGGCCGGCAGCTCCCTGCTCTAACCCACAGCAGGCACACAGCAACGACCCCTTCCCCGCCCCTCTCCTGGCCGGCCTCCGCCCCGCCGCTAGCGCGGGGCCACGCTTTCCAGCCCTTCCCCCAGCTGTCGGCGTCTCGCCCTGCGCCCCGGCCGGGGCCCCACACACAATGGACGAGCTTGCCGGAGGCGGTGGTGGCGGCCCCGGGATGGCGGCCCCTCCCCGGCAGCAGCAGGGACCTGGGGGGAACCTGGGCCTTTCGCCAGGGGGGAACGGAGCGGCGGGCGGCGGGGGTCCTCCGGCCTCCGAAGGAACGGGTCCCGCGGCAGGCCCCGAGCTGTCCCGGCCGCAGCAGTACACTATCCCGGGGATACTGCACTACATTCAGCACGAGTGGGCTCGGTTCGAGATGGAGCGGGCGCACTGGGAGGTGGAACGGGCCGAACTGCAGGTACCTCGTTGGGGTCGGTGTGCGGGACGGCTGCGGCGGCGGGGTTCCTAGCCGGGGCGGGGGTGGGGGGGTGGGGCCGGTACTCCTCTCAGCCGGAGCCGGCACCTCGGGAGGCCGAGCGAAACCTACCTGTGCTGCTCGGGGTGTGATAGTCTTCTCAACGACTTTCTTGGAGTTCTCCTCCCTCTTTTCCCGCAGAAGCTTGCTCCCCAACGTTCACTAGCTACGCGGTGCGGCCCTCCTCGGGGCAGCCATTTTGGCTTTTAGTATGGCGTCTGCGGGGGCTCCTCCGCAGGCGGCCTTCCCGGGCCTCCAGGGCTTGAGTCTGGGTTGGGGCCGCTCGACACTGAGTTTGCTCTTGTTTGTTCCTCTTGAGGTGAGGAACCCAACGAGAGGGACTGGAATAGGCATCTTACCCCCTTTTTCCGGACCACCCCCTTTTCCGATTTGGCATATCTGGCCCCCTCCCTCAGACTTGGTACGCACTTGCCCCTTGACAGCTACTCTTCTGTCCTGGGCGGCTACGGTGCACAGTGAGTTGCGACTGCCCTGTGAAGTTTTATTTCCCATCGTCAACTTTAAGTACTTCTTACCTGAGATGCTGCCTTACTCACTTGGATTCTCTGTAGTTATTCCTTTCTTAGTGACTCATCAACGGTTTTAGCACTGAATTTTTCTTTTTAGAGTACTCTTCACTAGACCTCCTTTCCCCATCCCTTTCTTTATCCATAAAAAAAAAACCACACCAGACTGACTATGCTGTATTTATGAAACGACTGAAAAGATTTAATAGAAGTTTGAAGTGAAACGTAGTTGTATCATATTACTTACTCGTGCAGGAGAAGCAAAGTGAGATGTCCTCCCGACCCTTCATAGTTGAGCTTGACTCGTTCCTTATAATGTGAACCTTTGATAGGCTACACGTTTGGAAGATGTTGGTAGTTAACGGCTCATGTCCCGGATCTCAAAATTGCCGCATCTTTTTGAAAGGATTAACTTTCTTGGGTATTTGTGTTTATTTTTAAATACCTTTGCAGGGCAAATTTAGGCTTAGAAGAAGAAAGCATACGTCTAAATAGTGTTGCATCTGTTCTTCAGACTGTTGTATATTCAGGAGGTAAGCGGTATTTGCTGTCATATATGTCATATGCCTATGGTGAATAGTTAGGCAAATGTAGTGTTGAAAGGAAGAGGACTGGATTAACTAGAAAGGGTGTCCTCAAACAAATATGAATCTCTTTAGTTTGGTGCTGAACTAGTAAACTTTTATATGACTCCACAAAATGGGTGAAGTTAAACTTTTGGAAAGTAAAAAATATTTAGATATTTTGACACTGTATGAAGTCTTAAAAAATTGTAACATTTGTTAGTCATTTCAGTGTTTTACAATTGTGTTTTGATATAATATTGTGCTTTAAAAATACATAACTTTCAAAAAGCTGAAGTCAAAGCTGTGGTTTCTTTTAAGTTGTGTAGTCTGCTTTAAATACTTAAGATTTATAGAATTTTGTTGGTATACAGCTTTCTACTACATCATGCTGCAAACTTAATTTTCTGTGTGAGTAAAGTTAGTAACGCATTTATTTTTAAAATTTGCATTAACAAATGCATTAAGGCTTAGGCTCACTAAATAATACTTCACCATTCCCCACTTTGGTTTCTTCCACCTTTTTACTATTGTATGCAAGTTTGGATTTTAACACTCTTCAAGTCAGCAATTTCATTTTTCACCTATAAACTTCACTAATGTAAGCAGCTGAGAAGAAAGATAGCTTGTGTCCAAATTAGTAAAACCTGTTCATTAATGAAGCCTTTATTGCCTTGAGCATTTTCTTTCCCTTCTAGGTCTCCTCTCCTTTACAGCAACAGAAGAGTGTTTTAAGGACGAGTCCTCTTGCTTGCTTGCTCTCAGTTCTACTCTTGGTATAGTAGTTCTGATATAGCCATCCTAAGTTATTGTTTCCTTGTTTTGAAAAAATCCTGCAGTGTTTCTAGACTCTTTATTACATACTGATTCTTTTGTAATAAAATGCTCATGATGGTGTTGGTGTTTTTTTTGTGCTATATATTTATAATGTTTTATTGAGTTACTTAGTTAATAGAGTTTCTAGTTTGCATCAGGATATTGAATTTGCATTAGGTGCCTTCAGTCTACTGAGATTGCTTGTGAGGTGCATATTTTAAAATGTATGTGTTGAATACAAATTTGTGGGAGGGTTGTAGTGAAGCATCAGTGGATTTTTACTGTAAACTTAAATTTATTTTTAAGAAAGACAACCTAGAAATAAGACAACTTACATATTATTATGTACAGTCTATGGTGCACTGTCAATCTACACATATTTTTAAAGTGTTAATTATTGAATAGTTTCAATAGTGAACATAAAGAGCTTAAGGAGTACCTCATATTGATGTAAAATTTTAGTAGGGAATTATATTTTCCCCGGCTTTGAAAAAGATATTAAAAGGAACTTTGCAGTATGATTCTGTTCTCTGTAAAAAGAATTTAGAGTAAAGCTCTGTCTTAGAAACTTGGAACTAAACCAAAGGATCATGTCTTAAAGCTCTTTTGTCTCTGATTCTTCCTTACCTTGGACTTAGGTAAAGCATTGTTAGTATGGTTGTAGGAAGATGGTTTCTAAACAGTAGTGCCTGTCAGAATCACTTGTAGAACTTTAAAAAATATGCAGGCCTCTTATCCTCTGGAGATCTGGATTGATCTAGGGCTTGAAGAAAATGGACTGTCTGTGGAATTTTGGTAATTCGTGTTATGTAAAAGTTAGAAACTGCCATTTAATCAGCAGTATAACATGATGAGGTAGGTATTCCTATTTTACTGGTGAGGAGACAAATTTAGGTAGGTTAAATAATTTTGCCAAGGTTACAAACATATCACATATTTTATATGAGTTCGAGTTTGATCCATTTTCCAGAGACTACCTCTTAAAGTGCTCTTCATATCTGTTAAATGGATGAACTGAAATATCCTTATTTTTTAAGCAGTTGGTGTCTTACTATGAAGAAGGGTGCAGCAAATCCAGATCCAAAGTACAAACACGTCATAGCTAGTAACCGCCACTTGTTTTCCACTGAAAATGGCAAATTCTTCTCAGGGTCCTCCTCATAGTGGCATCTGCAGACCACAGAGGTTGTGAACCTCTGGATGCGCTGGCCCAACGTAGTCCTGCTGGAGGCTCTTTGAAAGGCACAGAAACCGAGGATGGAAGAAGTAACATTTTTAATAGAGTGGAATCTGACTTGTAATTCTTGATCTAGCATTGTGTGGCCCACACCACTTGAGTGCATTTCAATAAAGTTTTATTGAGCCCCCGTGATGATGTGTAAAGCCTAGTTGATACATATTGCTGAAGTGTCCTTATGTTTTTCTTTGTAGTTTGTATGTAATAAGTATACTTTGGGGGTATATACAAAATGCTTGTTTGCCAAGCGTAAAAATATGACATAACTAATACATAGAAAATGTAGTCAAACTGTTTATATTCTAAAACTTCTGATTTTCCAGCAGATGTGAAAAAAAATTTCTTTTTCCTCTATGTCAACCCAGGCTGGAGGAGTGTAGTGAGTGGCATGATTTCAGCTCACTGCAACCTCTGCTTCTCAGGTTCAAGCAGTTCTCCTACCTCAGCCTCTGGTAGCTGGGACTGCAGGATTGCACTACCACACTTGGCTAATTTTTTTTTTTTTGTATTTTTAGGAGAGGCAGGGTTTTGACATGTTGGACAGGCTAGTCTTAAACTTCCTGACCTCAAGTGATCCACTCATCTCGGTCTCCCAGAGTACACTGCACGGTCCCAAAATTTTAGTGTTTGGGTTTATACTCTCTAGCATACAGATTGGTTGTAACATGACAGATGTTACTACTTAAAGATCCTTAAGTTAGTAGGAGACATTTTGCTTAGACATTACTTGATTTCTTTTAACGGGGAAAACTTTGAACTGTTTCTTCTGAATTTTCTATTTTCAGGGTTTTCAAAAATGGGTCTGGAATAGTGATTTGCAAATCCTAGTGTCTTTTCTATGACAAGATTTTAATGATTCTACCATGAAATTACAAAAAAGAAAAGGTAGTGATATTTCATAATGGTATTCTCTTTATTCTGGGATTTTTAGCTTTCATACGTTTTTACTGTTACGTGTTTCCTTTTTCAGATGATGGTGAAAATAGAGTTAAAAATTTTTTATTGATAGGATTAAGGGAGTCCACTACCTTGTATCAGATTTCCTGTTTCTTTCTCAAGCCCTTGAAATAAAGTTTAGGGACCACTGATCTAGAATTCTCTTTATGCTCCTCCACTACCCGTTAACCCCACTGTACAGCCTGCTTTTTGCTGTACTCTCCCCTCACTCCCCTCTGAACACTTTTAGAACACTATTTTTCTCTTCATGATTGACCTTCAAATTGCCAGATCCTGTGGCCTTAAAGACCATGTGTATGTACTTAACCAACACTTTCTGCTGTTGACAAATTCTTCAAAATTATTTTGTTTTGCTTCCACTCTTTTTCCTGTGGTCCACTTATCACTTTTCTTCATATGTTTTCTTTCTTTTGTTCCCAGTTAGTGTTATGTGGGGTTCTGGTTCTTTTATATTTTTACTGTATATTCAGAATCAGATTTTTAGCTACCATGTACCATCTTAATAATGCCTAAAATTTATTGTTTACTCTTTCCTAAGTGTTATTCCAGTGCTTCACTGTTTACTCATTTAATTCTCAAAACAACTCTGAGGTTGATACAGGTATAATTGGCTTCTTTCTTTTGTTTTTCCTGACACTGGCATATTGAGGCCCAGAGGTAAGTAATCTGTGCAACTAGGAGGCAGTAGAACTGGGATTTAAACTTAGACTGCCTCTAGTGGCCATGTTCTTAATCATTACTAGATTTTTGGCCTCCAGATGTCCCATGTATTTCTAACTTCCTGTTTAATTTTTCTACCTCCAATTCAATGGATCCATTCAGTTAATGTCAAGTGCCTGCCTCTTCCCCTTGACAAAACACACTTGCTCATTCTTTATTCCTTGCCGCATTAAAGTTAACACTATCCTCCCCATCACTAGTGCTATAGAGGTCATTGAATCTTCCCCCCGTGTATGTTCGGCCTCTGAGTTTTATTGATTCCAGCATAATTATTTGGTGAATATATTTGAGTGCGATTTTGTGCTAGATGCTGGGTGTATAATGATGTCCTTTGAGAGCTTTATACTCTAGATTTTTTTTTTTTCAAGAGAGGGTCCCACTCTGTCACCCAGGCTGGAGTACAGTGGTGCCAACATGGCTCACTGTAGCCTCAACCTCCCGAGCTCAAGTGATCCTGCTGCTGCAGCCTCCCAAGTAGGTGGGACTGCAGAGATGTACGACCACACCAGGCTGTTTTTATTTTTCTTTGAGATGGGTTCTCACTTTGTTGCCTAGACTGGTTTCGAACTCCTGGGCTTAAACAATCCTCCTACCTCATCTTCCTGAAGTCCTGCCACCATGCCCGGCTAATTTTTGTATTTTTAGTAGAGATGGAGTTTTGCCATGTTGGCCTGGCTGGTCTCGAGCTCCTGACCTCAAGTGATCCACCTGCCTTGGCCTTCTGCACCTGATCTATTGCATACTTTCTACATGCCCAACATTATTTTAGATTCTTCAATATATTTAATTCTCATAAAGTTCCTGTATGTATACTTTTAGATCTGAAGCATTCCAGTTGGAAGCTATACCATTTAGCAGAAGTTCTAAAGCAGGAAAGAGCTATGTTGAAATTGTGTGAACTGGCCAGATGTGGTGGCTCATGCCTGTAATCCCAGCACTTTGGGAGGATCACTTGAGCCCAGGAGGTGGAGACCAACCTGGGCAACAGTGAGACCCTGTCTCTAAAAATGAAAAAAAAAAAAAAGTCTGTGAACTGGACTTTTGATAAAAGAGGCTAAGTAATATAGGTAATGTCAGTATCCTAAAATATATTCTAATTCACTGATTCTTGGTTTCGGGGGGATTGTAGTCCCCTTTGTGTATATGATGAAAGCTATAGAGCCTCTTCGGTTTTTTTTTTTTTTTTTTTGTACAAAAGGGTAAGAAAATTTTGCTTAGAATGCTCGTGAAGCCTGACTACTGCCCTAAGGAAGTAACTGATTTAATCTGTACTTTCATTTCTGTACTAACATTGCCTTAGTTCATAGTGCTCCTCCTGGCAGAATCCATTGCCCCTCTTAACAATTTATCCTTTATATCATAAATATGATTGCATTATGTTTTACCCTCCTTTAATGTTTTAATGAAAAGTTCCAAACATGTACGAAAATAATACAGTATTGTGACTGCCCACAAACCTGTCACTCATCTTAAACAGTAACAACTCAGTCTTATTTTACCTGTACTTTTATCCAGTCCTTGTCCATTCCAAATCATTATTATTTTATTCATTTTTAAAAGACAGGGTCTCGCTATGTTGCCCAGGCTGGAGGATAGTGGTGTGATCGTAGCTCACTACAGCTTCAAAACTCCTGGGTTCAAATGATCCTCCCACCTCAGTCTCCCAAATAGCTTGAACTATAAGCACGTGCCACCGTGCCTGGCTAATTTTTTTTAGTAGAGACGGGCGTCTTTCTATATTGTCTAGGCTGGTCTTGAGATCCTGGCCTCAAGCGATCCTCCTACCTTGTTGGTATCTCAAGAGTGCTGGGATTAAAGGCATGAGCCACTGTGCCTGGCTTTTTTTAATTAAAAACAATTTTTTTTTTTTTTTTTTGAAACAGTGTCTCGCTGTGTTGCCCAGGCTGGAGTGCAGTGGCGTGATCTCTGCTCACTGCAACCTCCATCCACCACGTTCAAACAATTCTCATGCCTTAGCCTCCGGAGTAGCTGGGAATACAGGCGTGCCACCATGCCCAGCTAATTTTTTGAAATTTTAGTAGAGGTGGGGTTTCACCATGTTGGTCAGGCTGGTCTTGCGCTCCTGGATCACCCGCCCACCCTGGCCTCCCAAAATGCTGGGGTTACAGGTGTGAGCCACTGCGTCTAGCCACTTTTGAGGGAGAAAGAGAGAGAGAGCGTACGCGCGCTCTCTCTCTCTGTCTTCCAGACTGGAGTGCAGTTGCATGATCATAGGTCACTATAGCCTCAAACTCACATCATCCTGTAGTATTTAAAATCAGTTTCAGAATCATGATGAATACTTCAGTATGTGTCTAAAAGACAGGCTGGACATGGTGGCTTAAACCTATAATTATAAGACTTTGGAAGCCTGAGGAGGGAGGATCACTTGAGGCCTGGAATTTGAGGCTGGTCTGGGCAACATAGTGAGATCCCATCTCTACAAAATTTGTTTTTAAAAATTAGTCAGTTGTGGTTGCACCTGCTTCTAGTCCTAGCTGCTTAGGAGGCTGAGCTAGGGCGATTACTTGAGCCCAGGTGTTCAAGGCTTCAGTGAGCTGTGATTGTGCCAGTGCTCTCAGCCTGGGCAACAGAGTAAGACCCTGTCTCTGCAAAGAGAAAAGATAAGAGATTTAAAAGTCAGCTGCAATATTATTACTGTAGTTGTATACCAAATTGTTAAGAAAAATTAGCTACTTAATATTGTTGTCAAATACCCAGAGTTTAAATTTCCAGTTTTCTTAGGTATCTTAGGATAGTTTATTTGAATCTGGATCCAAATAACCTGTTGTGTTTGGGACCTCTCCATCTCTTTTTCTTTTCCCTACCGTGTTTTGTTGAAGAAATAAGGTGATTGGTTTCTTCATCATACAAAGAAGAGAGTCTATGTTTTTGCTAAGTGCTTTCCTGTGTCCTGTGTAGTTTTGCTATCATGCTTATTTTCCTTATAACTTGGTTGTTTGATCAGAATTCATTTTTCTTCAGTTTTGGGAGTGTGTGTCAAAGGGCAAGACTGATTTACAGGTGTAATGAGGTCTTTCACCGAAGGCATACAATAGTTGGTTGTCTTTTTGTATAATGTTAGCAACTGTTGATGTTGGTGCTTAGGAACATTCCATTACTACGGCCACCCATTGTTTTAAAAAATCTTGTTGAGAAATTGAGATAGAATTCACATAACACAAAATTCACCCTTTTAAAGCGTACTTTTTTTTTTTAATCTTCCTGCTATAAAAGTGAAATTTTCAGTTCATTTCTGAAAAATAAATTGGTCAATATAATTCATTTTGTTCTACTTCTGCTTTACAAAAAGCTTCGTGTTCAGCCTGATACCTTTCTAGCTGCATTCTCTTTTCTTTTCTTCATTATTATTATTATTATTATTATTATTTTGAGATGGGTTTTTCTCTGTCACCCAGGCTGGAGTAC